GAGAACTTGTCATATGGCAACAATAGAAACACACTTCAACCTCCACCTGGATTCAACACTTAGAATTTTGATGGGAAACCACCCTTGGAAGACATCCTTGGGACGTTCATTTCTGAGACAAGATCACGCTTCAACAAAGATGAATCACGTTTGGATAATATTGAAACACATGTGTCCAACATGGGAGCCACAATGAAGAATCTTGAAGTGCAAATTGACCAATTGGCTACCTCAATAAAGTCTCAGCAAAAAGGAAAATTTCCAAGTGATACAGAGGTCAATCCAAAGGAGCACTGTAAAGCTGTTGTATTAAGGAATGGCAAGCAAGTTGGAGAAAGTGAACTCACTGAAGATAGCAACCCCACACCTGATAAGGAGAAAGTTATGTTGATAATACGGTGAAATCACTCCCTAGACTTTATGAAATTGTGAATTAATCTTTAGAAATTGCCTCACTTTTCTTGCATTATTAAATTCATCGACATTAGTTTAGCATTCAAACATCAATTTAAATGTTTTGGAATAAATGCCAAATTACGTAAAGTTTATGAAGGAAGTGATGTTAAAGAAGCGAAAATTGGAGGAATATGAAACAGTAAAATTGACAGAAGAATGCAGCGCTATTCTTCAAAAGAAACTTCCTCAGAAGAGAAAAGATCCGGGCAGCTTCACTATTCCATGCACCATTGGAAGCTCCTCCTTTGAAAAGGCCCTCTGTGATCTAGGAGCAAGCATCAACCTAATGCCGTTATCATTATTCAAGAAATTAGGCCTCGGGGAGGTCAAGCCAATAACAGTGACTCTACAACTAGCTGATAGGTCCCTCACCTACCCAAGAGGGATTATTGAAGACGTGTTGGTAAAGGTCGACAAATTCATCTTCCCAGCCGATTTTGTGGTATTAGATATGGAAGAAGATCAGGAAATCCCACTGATTTTAGGCAGGCCATTCTTAGCAACTGGAAGGGCATTAATTGATGTACAAGAGGGACAATTGACATTGAGAGTAAATGAAGAAGAGGTGAGGTTCAACATTTACCAAGCAATGAAGTACTCAGATGACAATAACACTTGCCACATGATTGACTTCATTGATTCTACTGTGAGAGATGAGAAATTATGTATTAAAGATCCTCTAGAGTAATGTATGATGTTTAGCACAACAAAGGATGATATTAGCAATTTTGGAGAGTACATAGGGAGCAAGGATTTGGTTGATTACATATTGGCTCTTGAGTCTACATTAGTTGTGGAAAACCCATCACAATGTGAGGATATTCAACAGTCAGAGGAAGCAGATAACAAAGAAAGCAATGAAAACAGTAAGGCTGAACTGAAGCAATTACCAGATCACCTTCGCTATGCATTTCTGGGGGGACAATTCTGTATTTCCAGTGATTATTTCTTCATCACTCACCAGAGACGAAGAGGATAGATTATTGAAAGTGTTAAGGGATCATAAGGCCGCTTTGGGATGGTCGATAGCTGACATCAAGAGGATAAGTCCTACAATCTGCATGCATAAAATCCTCATGGAAGAGTCTTACAAGCCATCCATCGAACATCAAAGAAGGTTAAACCCAGCAATGAAAGAAGTGGTTTGAGCGGAGATTCTAAAACTATTGAAGGCAGGAATCATTTTTGCCATTTCAGACAGTGAATAGGTCAGCCCAGTGCAAGTGGTACCAAAGAAAGGAGGGATGACAGTAGTTAAGAACGACAACAATGAGCTAATTCCAACAAGAACAGTAACTGGCTGGAGGGTGTGCATTGACTACAGCAAACTGAACAATCAACCAGAAAGGACCATTTCCCACTGCCGTTCATAGATCAAATGTTGGACAGATTAGCTGGCTACTCTTACTATTGCTTTCTTGATGGATATTCGGGCTACAACCAGATTGTTATAGCACTAGAAGATCAGGAAAAGACAACCTTCACTTGTCCTTATGGAACTTTTGCTTACAGATGGATGCCATTCGGATTATGTAATGCACCGGCCACTTTTCAGAGATGCATGATGGCAATTTTTGCAGACATGGTTGAAGACATCATGGATGTATTTATGGATGACTTCTTAGTGTTTGGTACTTCTTTTGATAACTGCCTTCACAATCTCTCCTTAGTGCTGCAACGCTGTGAGGAAAGGAATTTAATTCTCAACTGGGAAAAGTGCCACTTCATGGTACAAGAAGGTATTGTGTTAGGCCACCATGTTTCGGCGAGGGGATTGGAAGTGGACAGAGCAAAAATTGATACAATTGAAAAGCTACCACCACCCACCAATGTCAAAGGTATTCGAAGTTTCTTAGGGCACGCTGGATTCTACAAGAAATTTATCAAAGATTTCTCAAAAGTGGCAAAACCCCTATGTAACCTTTTGGAGAAGGACACAACGTTCGCATTTGATGAAGACTGCTTACGGGCTTTTGAAACCATAAAGGCAAAATTAGTCACCGCCCCAATGATGGTAGTACCAGATTGGGATCAGCCATTTGAGGTTATGTGTGATGCTAGTGACTACGTAGTAGTGGCAGTTTTGGGACAAAGGCGTGATAAGATTTTTAAGGCAATCCACTATGCCAGCAAAACTCTTAATGGAGCTCAACTAAATTACACAACAACAGAGAAGGAAATGCTAGTAGTAGTGTTTGCATGTGACAAATTCAGATCTTATCTCATTGGCACCAAAGTGATAATTTACACAGACCATGCTGCAATCTGTTATCTCTTTCAAAAGAAGGATGCCAAGCCACGCCTAATTCGATGGATACTGCTACTACAGGAATTTGATGTAGAGAAAGGCAGTGAGAATGTCGTTGCAGACCATCTCTCACGATTGGAGAATGAAAAGGTGGTGGATGACAGTCATATTCGAGAAGCGTTCCCCGACGAGATCTTACTAGCTGTATCAACAAAGATCCCATGGTATGCTGATTTTGTTAACTATTTAGCGTCTGAAAGATTGCCACCTGACTTGACCTTTCATCAAAAGAAGAAATTCCTACATGATGTCAAGTCATATCTGTGGGATGATCCAATCTTGTTCAAAAGGTGTGCTGATAGAATAATCAGGCGGTGTGTCCCTGTGGAAGAAACACGATCAATCATGCAGCATTGCCACTCCTCACCTTATGGAGGTCATTTCGGTCCTACACGTACTGCTGCAAAGGTATTGCAATCTAGTTTGTTCAAAGACTGCTATGCTTTTGTGAAGACATGTGACCGCTGTCAGCGCACTGGAGACATTTCAAGACATCATGAGCTACCATTAACCAGTATGCTTGAGGTGGAACTATTTGATGTGTGGGGTATTGATTTCATGGGTCTGTTTCCACCTTCCTTTGGTCAAGAGTATATTCTTCTCGCAGTAGATTATGTGTCTAAGTGGGTTGAAGCCATTGCCACACCAACAAATGATGCAAAGGTGGTGTTGAAATTTTACAGAAAACTATCTTCACTCGGTTTGGCACACCTACGGCAATCGTAAGTGACGGAGGTAAACATTTCTGTAACAAGCTGTTCAATTCTCTTCTAGCTAAGTATGATGTCAAGCACAAGTTGGCATTGGGTTATCATCCATAGTCAAATGGGCAAGTAGAGGTGTCTAACAGAGAGATTAAACAGATTTTGGAAAAGACGGTGAATACCAATCGGAAGGACTGGTCTCTCAAACTAGATGACGCTCTTTGGGCATACCAAATAGCATTTAAGACTCCAATTGGAATGTCGTCCTACCGTCTGGTATTCGGGAAAGCTTGTCATCTATCGGTAGAATTGGAGCATCGAGTTTATTGGGTGGTGAAGAAATTGAATTTAGATATGAAATTGGCCGTTCCACAACGCTTGTTGCAACTTGATGAATTGGAGAAATTCCGGAACGATGCATATGAAAATGCAAAGATATATAAAGAATGGACAAAGATGTTGCATGACAAGAGAATATTAAGGAGGGATCTCAAGGCAGGAGAACCTATTTTCCTATTCAATTCTCGCTTGAAACTCTTTCCAGGCAAGCTCAAATGCCGGTGGTTAGGACCATTTGTAATCCGTAAGGTGTTCCCTTATGGTGCAGTGGAATTAGTAGGCAAGGATGGGTCTACCTTTGAGGCAAATGGACAACGCCTCAAACATTACTATGGAAAGGAAAACTGGGATGTGGAAGAAATTACCATTGATGAACCAACTTGAAACCACATCCACGTCCAGCTAAAGACGTAGAAGAAGCGCTTCTTGGGAGGCAACCTAAGCTCTATCCTTAAGTTTTCATAAAATTCATTTATTTCGGTTTTCGTTATTTTACCTATTTAAGTGATTTCATTTTCGTCTTGTTTTTATAGGTACATGCTCGAATTGGAAGCATCGAACCAAGAAAGGAAATAAGGAAGGACTACATTGTAAGACTACATGGAAGGTATTAAAAAAAAAAAAATTTCAGAAACTTAGCGCCTAGGCGCTGTAATCCCCAACCAGGGCAATAAGTCAGCGCCTAGGCGCTGTCCTTTTAAAAAAAAATTAATTTTATATAAAAACCTACCTTCTCCCCTAATTGACTTATTCCTTCCCTTCCTTTTTCTTTTTCTTCTCTCCCCCCTCCCCCATACGAATTGCTCCTCTTCTCTTTCACCATTTAAACTTTCTTTTGAAACACAAATCAATACATTTTCTTGTATTTCATACTCTACAATTAGTAAAGGGGCCACTTGCTTGATCTTTGGGATCACCATCTTTCTACTTGTAAGTCCTCTTACTTTCAATTTTTATTTTGGCACTTCAACTTCGTTATTAATTGGGTATATTTGGATTCTTGGATTTTTTTTTTTTTGGAGTTGTGGTGATTGAAATTCTGATGGGATAAATTTATTGATGGGATATTATGCAAAGTATGATGAAATTGCCTTGCTCCCATGGTGTTTGATTAAATTCCCAGGAGAATTTTTCTTGTTGTAGTAACCTCAAGTTAATTGCTGACTTTTGCACTTTGCTCAGGTTTGTTTATATTTCAGTATGCCTTCCAAGCGGGCTCGCAACACTACCTCTTCTTCCTCTGCTTCTTTTGACAGAACCAAATTTATAAGTGAAGCAGCTACGGAACGGTACAACACTTTGGTGGTGCATAAAAACTGTATTGAGGAGAGGGGTTTTGATAAATATATGACTACACAAATCCAACAGAGGGGATGGCAATTATTTGCTCAACAGCTGCAACCAGCCCTTATTCCTGTTGTTCGGGAGTTCTATGCTAACGCAAAGGAACACAGAAATTTTTTGGGCATTTGTGAGGGGCAAATGGATTGCTTTTGATAGAACCTTCATCAATCAATTTTACAATCTTTTAGATGTGGAAAACAATGACTACTCTATGTTGCGTAAAGAAAGAGTAGATCCTGGTGAACTATTACGAGTGTTAGCTCATTCGGGCACTACTTAGAAATGGGCTGGTGACGACGTGCTACATTTTCCTGCCACTAGGATGATTGTTGAACATAAAGCATGGCATCATTTCATCTCAGCCAAATTCCTCCCGATTAGCAACCTCAGTGAAGTCACGAAGGAGTGTGCAATACTCAATTATGCTATTCAGTGTGATAAGTCCATAGATGTTGGTCAAGTTATTCACAATAGTATTTTACATACCCTGAAAGGCTCAACGACTGGCTGTCTTGGGTACCCGTGTTTGATTTATGAATTGTGCAGAAAGGGGGGCGTTATAACATTCTCATCAGAAGAGGTGGTACATCCCAAACCACCCATCACTAGGAGTTGGGCTTGGAAGTTCATGAGCCGGCAAGGCTCCACCAGTACAACACCCTCGGGAGCGGAGACAAGACCAGCTCAGTCACGTAGACCCCGCTCATCCAGTGACCCGAGCAATGACCTCGCTACCCAGTTACGCGGGATGCAACTACAAATGAATTCGCTGCAGAATGTCATGTATGAGCAGTTCTGTTACCAAAATGAGTTTAATGCAGTTTTGCGATCCATCTACTCGGATAGGACTTTCCCCCAACCACCGCTACTTCCCAATCGCAACTCCGACCCACCTCACCGTGACATTGACAGCGATGGAGACACTTGATATCTCCGCTCAGTTACGTCCTCTTCCTTTCTCTTTTTCTTAACATTGGGGACAATGTTTGGTTC